AGTCTATTTTGTCTGATATTAGGATGGCTACTAATTGTGCCAGTGTTGTGGTATAGCAGGTTAAGCCTCAGCCTGCAAACCTGGCATCCAAATGGGTGCCAGTTCAAAACTTGGCTGCTCCATTTCCAATGCAGCTCCCTGCTAATGTGCCTGAGAAGGCAATGGAAGATGGCCCAAGTGCTTGGGCCCCTGAACCCACATGACAGACCTGGAACAAGCTCCAGGGCTCCCAGCTTCGGCACTGGACATTATGGTCATTTGGCAAATGAATTAGTGGATGGAATATCTCTGTCTCTCCATTTCTCTCTATAACTCTACTTTTCAAATAAATAAAAACGAAATCTCAAAAAAAATTAAAATAAAGGATTGCTACTCCTGATGTTTTTTGCTTCCTATTAGCATGGAATATCTCTTTCTATCCTTTCGCATTCAGGCTGTGTGCATCTTTATTGATGAGTTGTTTCTTGTAGTCAGCAAATAGATGGATCTTATTTTTTATTCCATTCAGCCAGTCTGTACCTTTTAACTGGAGAATTCAGGTAAAATATATTCAGTAATTATTGATAAGTAACAACTTGGTCTTGCCATTTTTCCATGAATATTCCTATAATTTGCTTTGGATTTCCTTTGTACTTTTTTTTAAGATTTATTTTATTTATTTGAAAGACAGAGTTACACAGAGAGAGGTAGAGACAGAGAGAGGTCTTCCATCTGCTGGTTCTCTCCCCAGATGGCTGCAATGGCTGGAGCTGCGCTGATCCAAAGCCAGGAGCCAGGAGCTTCCTCTGGGTCTCCCACATGGGTGCAGGGCCCCAGGGACTTGGGCCATCTTCCACTGCTATCCCAGGCCATAGCAGAGAGCTGGATTGGAAGAGGAGAAGGCAAGACTAGAACCGGTGCCCATATCGGATGCTGGTACTTCAGGCCAGGGCTTTAACCCGCTATGCCACAGCACTGGCCCCTTCCTTTGAACTTCTACTAGGAGATGTTTTGCTTTCACATTCTTTCATAATAGGGACTATCTTTGTTTCTGTACATAGCACATCCTTAAGTTTCATTTATAAGGCTGGACAAACGGTGACAAATTCTTTCAATTTCTGTTAGTTTTGGAAAGTATTTCATCTTTATTTATAAATGAGAGCTTTGCTCATTATAGTACACTGGGTTGATAATGTTTTTCTTTTAGGACTTGGACCACGTTTCTCCATTCTCTCCTAGCCTGTAGGGTTTCTGATGAGAAATCAGCTGTCAGTCTAATTGGAGATCCTCTGAAGCAATATGGAATTTGTCTTGTGCACATTTTGGAATCTTTATGTTTTACTGTTCAAAGTTTGACTATAATGTATCATGGTGAAGATCTTTTCTGGTCATGTCTATTATGAGTTCTATGCACTTCCTGTATTTGGATGCCCCTTTCTCCAAATTAGGGAAGTTTTCTGTTATTATTTCACCGAATAGGCTTCCTAATCCATTCTCTTTCCACACCTTTAAGAATTCCTAAGACATATAAGTTAGGTCATTTGATAATATTTCATAAATCTTAAATACTATTCTCAGTTTTTCTAATTTTTTGTCTATTTCCAAAGACTTGTCTTCTAGCTCTGATATTCCTTCTTCTGCCTCACCAAGTCTCTTGTTAAGGGTTTCCACTGTGCTTTTTATTTGAAGTATTGAATTCTTCATTTCTAATATTTCAGTTTCATTTCCCTTCAATATATGTATCTCCTGGCAACAGTTTTCATCTATGTTGTGTATGGATTTCTTTAACTTGTGAATTTGCTTCTCATTGTTTTTGAGTAGTCTTATGATCATTCTTTTGAATTCCTTTTCAGGCATTTCATTAATCTTTTCATCTTCACATTCTAATATTGAAATGTTGTTCTGTTACTTGGGGGGAGTCATTTTGTCTGCCTTGTTCATGTTTCTCATCATTTTTTTTTTTTAAGATTTTACTTATTTATATGAAAGAGTTAGAGAGAGAGAGAGCAAGCGAGCGAGTGAGCTTCCATTTCCTGGTTCACTCTCCTGATACTTTGAATAACCAGGGATGTGCCAGGCTGAAGCCAAGAGCCAGGAGCTTCATCCAGTCTCTCATGTGGGTGGCAGGCCCAACCACCAGGGCCATTTTCTGCTGCTTTTCCCAGGCCATCAGCAGAGAGCTAATGGAGCAGCCGGGACATGAACTGGCACCCACATGGGATACCAGTGTGGCAGTCAGCAGTTACCCACTACATGGTTACCCATGCTACAATGCTGGTCCCACCTTCTTATATCTTAACAATCTCATTGGTAATGTAACTTCTCAAAGACAATGCTACAGCTTACCACTGCATAGCTTAATAACAAGTGTTTCAGAAATATCTGCCCAATAATGAACACTACCAAATGGTTTCATTTCTTTTGCAATTATCCAAAGTTTAGATTTCCTACTGTACTCCTACTCTTACCAACCTCAAGACTATCAAAATTTTCTCTTCCATATGCTACAAGCTCATGCCTTTCCTGTCTTTAAGTCCTATAAGAATAAAAATTAAATGCATTCTATACACACACACACACACACACATTTCCTTTTACGGCAAAGTATTATATAAAATTGTTCACTATAAATTTTAAGAATAACTCTAGAACAGATTTATAGCTGTTCTTCTATACCCATGGGGGACTGGGTCTAGAACCCTAACTCCACTTCCACCCCCCACTCCCCGCCAGAATATCAAAATTTGTGGATGCTCACATTTCCTATGTAAAATGTAGTAGTATTTCCATATAACTTATACACATCCTCTCTGATTTTAATTATACCTCTGGATTACTTATAATACTTAATATAATGTAAGTGCTAGGCAAATAATTGCTATACTGTATTATCTAGGGAATAATGATCAGAAAAACAGTCTGCACATGTTCAGTACAGCTTTTCCCCAAATATCTGTGATCCACAGTTTGAATTCAAGGATTAAATCTATCTTCCCAAAAATGATGCTGAAATTCATATGGAGGCACAGGAGACCTCGAATAGCTAAAGCAATCTTGTACAACAAAAACAAAGCCGAAGGCACCACAATACCAGATTTCAGGATATACTACAGGGCAGTTACAATCAAACCAGCATGGTACTGGTATAGAAACAGATGGATAGACCAATGGAACAGAATTGAAACACCAGAAATCAATCCAAACATCTACAGCCAACTTATATTTGATCAAGGATCTAAAACCAATTCCTGGAGCAAGGGCAGTCTATTCAACAAATGGTGCTGGGAAAACTGGATTTCCATGTGCAGAAGCATGAAGCAAGACCCCTAACTTACACCTTACACAAAAATCCACTCAACATGGAAGAAAGATCTAAATCTACAACCCGACACCATCAAGTTATTAGAGAACATCGGAGAAACCCTGCAAGATATAGGTACAGGCAAAGACTTCTTGGAAAAGACCCAGGAGGCACAGGCAGTCAAAACCAAAATTAACAATTGGGATTACATCAAATTGAGAAGTTTCTGTATGGCAAAAGAAACAGTCAGGAAAGTGAAGAGGCAACCAAGAAAATGGGAAAAAATATTTGCAAATTATGCAACTGATAAAAGATTAATAACGAGAATATACAAAGAGATCAACAAACTCAACAACAACAAAACAAACAACCCACTTAAAAGATGGGCCAAGGACCTAAATAGACATTTTTTTTCAAAAAAGGAAATCCAAACAGCCAACAGACACATGAAAAAACGTTCAGGATCACTAGCAATCAGGGAAATGTAAATCAAAACCACAATGAGGTTTTACCTCACCCCGGTTAGAATGGCTCACATACAGAAATCTACCAACAACAGATGCTGGCGAGGATGTGGGAAAAGGGACACTAACCCACAGTTTGGAAATTCCTCAGAAACCTGAATATAGCCCTACCACATGACCCAGCCATCCCCTCCTTGGAATTTACCCAAATGGAATTAAAGGGAAAAAAAAAGCTGTCTGCACCTCAATGCTTATTGCAGCTCAATTCACAATAGCTAAGACATGGAATCAACCTAAATGCCCATCAACAGAAGACCGGATAAAGAAATTATGGGATATGTACTCTATAGAATACTATACTGCAATAAAAAAAATGAAATCCAGTCATTTGCAACAAAATGGAGGAACCTGGAACACATCATGCTGAGTGAAATAAGCTAGTCCCGAAGACAAATATCATATGTTCTCCCTGATCTGTGACAACTAACTGAGCACCTAAAAGGAAACCTGCAGAAATGAAACTGAAACTATGAGAATGAATTGATCAGCCCTTGTCCTGACTGTCGAGGAACAGCTATTTTATTATTTTTAGTATTTTCTTGTTCTACTTAATACCATTGGTTGAACTCTTTAATTAACACACAATTATTCTTAGGTGTTTAAAATTTAACTGAGAAGTAATCCCTGTTAAAAATAGGAGTCGGAATAAGAGAGGGAGGAGATGTACAGTTTGGCAAATGCTCACTTGGACTTACCCCTAATGGTAGAGCTAGAAATGTGCCATGGGATTCCAAATCCCATTAAGGTGGCATGTACTGATGCCATCCTACTAGTTAATGCGATCAGTTTAAGTTCATAATTGATCATAATGATATGATTAAGTGTCAAAGGGATCACATAAATAAGACCAGTGTCTGCTAATAATAACTGATAGAATTAAAAAGGAGAGAATGACTCCCAAACCAAACTTGGATATTTTGTTTACAATGATTCATGGAGAAAGACAAAGTAACTGAATCTTAGGAGGGCACCTATATAGTGAAACAAGGGGTTTTAATCTGTATTCCCCTCATCTTCTAACATTAATCACAAAAGGTAAGTCTCCAAATTTTACTTTTATCTAAGTTAACTTTGATTTAACTTTATGATCAAAAAAATTCTAAAAAGCAAAGCAAATAGCCATAACAATTTGCCAATTCTGTACCAGCCCCAGAGGGAGGAAAGAAGCATGTAACTGAGAAGAAAGAAGTCTTTACCTTTGATATCACCCCCAGCACAGAAAGCCTTTTCTCCAGCTCCCTTTATTAGGATCAGGAAGGTTTCAGGATCTTGTTCCCACTTCTATCCAAATGTAAAAGAAGATGGCATAAGCATATTATAAATACAAACTTATTAAAGACATATCCACATATGAACATACAGCATTCACGCATGTGTGTGTACATACGGATCCTGTTCTAAAACCCATCCAATAGAACTGATCTCATCTGTCCACTCATCACTGAAGGAATTTTATTTTCTGATATGAAGTAGAGGCTATAGCAACAAGGTTACTGGACAAGTATCTTGTGACACGTTTCATGACAACATTAGAAATTTCCACTATTGGAAATCAAGAAAAATATGGGCTTAATGTTGTTACATAAACAAAAATTTGGTAAACAAACCAATCCAAAGACTGAGGAAAAATAAGCAATAACCTTTCTACTGTAGTGATACAGGATGCTGTTCTAATGAAAAATGTATAAGAACACAGTGAAACCATTTATGACTTTGATCAAATATGCAAGTGACTTGGGGTTGGTAAGGACAACTTAAAAATAAGCAGCATGAAGCGCGCCAGCCACAGCAGCCATTGGAGGGTGAACCAATGGCAAAAGGAAGACCTTTCTCTCTGTCTTTCTCTCTCACTGTCCACTCTGTCAAAAAAAAAAAAAAAAAAAAAAAAAAAAGCAGCATGAAAGAATCAAGAGTAAAAGGAGGGGTGAGTGTTTGGTGCAGCAGTTAAGTTGTTGCTTGGGATTCTCACATCTCCTATCAATGAGTGGTTTGATTCTGAACTACTCTGCCTCCAATCCACCTTCTGCTAATGCGCACCTTTGGAGGCAGCAAATAATGGCTCAAGCACTTGAGGCCTTGCCACTCAATAGGAGACCTAGATAGGGTTCCCAGTTCCTGGCTCTGGCCTGATCCAGGCCTACTATTGCATTTGGAGTGTGAACCAGCAGATGCTAAGATCTCTTGCCATCCCTATCTTTCAAACAAACTGAAAATAAAGAAAATTAAAAAAAAATGTCAGTTGAAATTGAAAAGTTTTGAACAATGGTCAAAATGACAAACTACTTAACCAAAGAAAAATCAACAGGGGCTAAATTCTATACTAGAGAATAAAAATATAAATGTGGGGCCAGCACTGTGGCTAAGCAGATTAAGCTGCCATATGCAGTTCCAGCATCCCATATGGGCACTGGTTCAAGTCCCAGCTGCTCCACTTCTGATCCAGCACCCTGCTAATGTGCCTGGGTAATCAGTAAAAGGTGGTCTAAGTACTTGGGCCCCTGTACCCACGTGGGAAACCACGAAGAAGCTCCTGGCTCCTGGCTTCAGAACGGCCCAGCTCTGGCCACTGCAGCCATTAGGAGAGTGAACCAGTGCATGGAAGATCTGTCCTTCTCTTTCTCTCTGTAACTCTGCCTTTCAAATGAATACAAAAATACTTAAAATATACATATGTATCTATACATACACATAAATGCATATACACACATACACATAAAAGCACAAAGAAGCTATAGAGCTGCACAGACGTGAATTCCAAAACGCTAATGTACCAGGTCTGCACTGTGGCACAGCAGATTAAGCCACCACCTATGCCACCAGAATCCCATACTGGAGCACCAATTTGAGGCCCAGTTGTTCTACTTCCCATCCAACTCCCTGGGAAAGCAGGGAAGGATGGCCCAAGTACTTAGGTCCCTGCCACCCATGTGGGAGACCCAGTCGGAGCTCTGGGCTCCTGGTTTTGGCCTGGTCCATCCCCTGCCATTGCAGTCATCTAGGGAGGGAGGCAGCATATGGAAGGGCTCTTTGTGTCTCTCCCTCTCTCATTCTGCCTTTAAAACAAATAAATAAATAAACATTTTTTTAAAAACATATCGGACTACATTAACAGAAATGTTATTTCAACACAGATTTTTCACTTTCTTCAATTCTAGTCCAACTCTAATCTGCAACACTCTTTTCTTTGTATCACATTTTAGGACATATTTTCAGGTGTCCCAAACAGAAAAAGAAGAATGGAAGAGGGACTCACCAACATATTACAGAACTGATGGCTGGGGGACAATTAGTCTTTGTCCTTGGCAAACGGATTAGGTACTTACATATATTACTTCACTTAATCTTTACAACATTCTCACAAAATATCAGAATCCTCACTTCACAGTGGAGGAAAGTGAGGCATACAGACATTAACCTGCCGAACCTACACAATTAATAAGTAAAATTCCAAATTTCAACAGTTTGTCTTGAAGTTCTCTGTTTTTCTAATGTCCCATTAGTTCACTAAGAAAAGTTTATGACTTAGCTAAAAAAAAAAAAAAAAAAAAAAAAAAAAAGTCAAGCAATTTAAAAACAGCTGTACAGGTTGTCATGTGGAAACAGTTTAGATTTGTAAGCTCGTGCCCTCAAAGGCAGAGCCAGTATCATTGGTTAAAAGGTCAGAGAAACAGCAGCCAGGGCATTGTGGCACAGAAGGTTAACCTACCTTTTCATATCAGAATGATGGTTCCAGTCAGTTTTTTGCTAATGTGCCTGGGAAGGCAGCAGATGATGGCCCAAGTATATGGGCCCCTGTCAGTCATGTAGATGGAGTTCCTGGCTCCTGGCTTCCCCTTGACCCAGACCTGGCTGTTGCTGCCATTTAGGGAGTGAGCCAGTAGACAGAAGATATCTCTCCCACTGCCCTCCACCCCCAGACCCATGTTTCAAATAAATAAATATTGCTTTGTAAAAATAAAGATAATTAAAAATGAATCTTAATGAAGAATGGGATGGGAGAGAGAATAGGAGATGGGATGGTTTGTGGGTGGGAGGGTGGTATTAAGGGGAAAAACTGCTAAAATCCAAAAGTTGTACTTTCAAAATTTATAGTTATTAAATAAAAGTTTTCTAAATAAATAAATAAAAGGTCACAGACACAAACAGCAAAAAGAAGAAACTTGTGAACCAATAGATATGTAAAAGAGAAAGGGGCTGAATGTGAGTCAATGAACTTATCAGCTGGGGTGCTCAAAGATAAGCACACAGGAAATGCACTGAAGTCCCAAGGATCAACGGAGCTTGGGCACATATCCCTGAGTTCTAAAACTCTGGGAGAAAATACCAGACATGTTCTATTGTGATATACTTTTTTTAAAGATCCACATAAGTGATTCTAAAAATTCACAAACCTTTAGCTGTGGATAAATCTGCCGAACCATACTAAAAGACAGTGCGTTCAGAAACTTCGGTCTGTTTAAGGTTATCACTCCTGCACAACCTTTCCTTTCCAACAGTACATCCCCTGCTGCATCGGTGTGCTTCGACATTCTCTGTAAACAAAGAACACTTTATCATAAAATTCATTAGGTTTTTGCCACAAGCCAACATCAAAACATACACATCAAATGCAAATCATTGTCTTCAGTATGAATGAATCTCCTCGTTCTTTGAGGTATAATCGCACAACATTTTTACTATACCTACCAGTTTTTACAAAATAATGTTAAGACTGTATGCCTAAGCTAGTAGTCTATGTTAAAAGCAAGGTAACTTAAACAATTACCTATACAAAGGGTAAATAGAAACAATGTTAATTTCACCTTGGATCACTTTCACTGCATAGTACATTGCAATTGCACGTCAGTATAATGTCACTGATCGAATCATCAGTAACCCTTAAACTGAGAGGTATGGCAGCTCCCTGTGAGACACCAACATGTAAATCTTAGTATTGGATCCTTCCTTCCTCCCTCTCTTCCTCTGAGCTGCCAGGAATGGGAAAGACAAAGGAAATGCAGAAATGCACATCTTGGGGCCCTTGCTATGGTGAATTAAACCACTCTCCAGAGCACTGGCATTCCATAAGGGTATGGGTTTGAGTCCCAGCTATTCCACTTCTGATCCAGCTGCCTGATAATGCACCTGGGAAAGCAGCAGAAGATGGCCCAAGTCCTTGGGCCCCTACATCCACATGGGAGACCCAGATGAAGCTCTGAGGTCCTGGCTTTGGCCTGGCCCAGCCCTAGTTGATGTGGCCATTTGGGGAGTGGATCAGCCAATGGAAGATCTCTCTCTGTAACTCTGCCTTTCAAATAAATAAATCTTTAAAAAAAAACGCACATCTTTCATATTGATAACTAAAAGCACCAATAAGTAGGTAAATCTAACAAAGTTATTGAAAGTTATTCTGACAAATGCCCTAAACAGCACTCTGGCCTCTGAATCAGCCTTTAAGGCATTCAGATCTGGCTAAAAAGCCCATGAGAGCATTTCAGACATGGAAAGCCAAGACACAATGGCAAAAAATGACCTATAAGAAAGATCTCTGTGAGTGAGATCCCAGCGGAAAGAACGGGCCATCAAAGAAGGAGGTACCTTTCTCTGAAGGGAGGAGAGAACTTCCACTTTGACTATGACCTTGTCTAAATAAGATCAGAGTTGGTGAACTCAAGAGGCTTCCATAGCCTTGGCAACTCATGACAAGAGCCTCAGGTGATCACTGATGCCATAAATAAGAGTGTCAACTGTTAAATCAACAACAGGAGTCATGGTGCACTTCTCCCCATGTAGGACCTCCATCCTTAATGTGCTGTACTAAGAGAATTAATAGTAATACTAGTCTTCAAACAGTACTTTATACTTTGTGTGTCTGTGTGGGTGCAAACTGTTGAAATCTTTACTTAGTATAGAGTTGATCTTCTGTTAATAAAGATAATTAAAAATGAATCTTAATGAACAATGGGATGGGAGAGGGAGTAGGAGGTGGGATGATTTGGGAGTGGGAGGGCGGGTATAAAGGGAAGAACCACTATAATCCAAAAGTTGTACTTATGAAACATATTTATTAAATAAAAGCTTTCTATAAAAAATTTAAAAAGAAAGTTATTCAGACTTTGCATACAGGCAATTCCAAGACAAACTATACATACCTCCTGAATTTCAAAATTTTCAGTTCTGAGAGAATTTAATCAACTGACTTAGTATACAGCCCAGTCCTAAAATCCCTCAGACTATGAAATACTATTTAGTCTTCTATTTATTACTGTCTATCAATCTCTATATTAGATGTTGAAAGAGTAAAGATGAACGAAAGGTAGCAAATAAAAACCCAATAAGCAGTGTATTTCTTACTTGAAAAACTTTTTTTTCATAGAATTGCTCTTGAAATTTATATTTTGCAGAACATATTCTGAAAAATACTTCAGAGCCTTCATAAACAGTGTAAGAAATAAACACTCCCGGCCTGCGCCATGGCTCAATAGGCTAATCCTCTGCCTGCAGCGCCGGCACACCGGGTTCTAGTCCCAGTCAGGGCGCCGGATTCTGTCCCGGTTGCTCCTCTTCCAGGTCAGCTCTCTGCTGTGGCCCAGGAGTGCAGTGGAGGATGGCCCAAGTACTTGGGCCCTGCACCCCATGGGAGACCAGGAGAAGCACCCGGCTCCTGGCTTTGGATCAGCGCTGTGCGCCGGCCTCAGCGCGCTGGCCGCAGAGGCCACTGGGGGGTGAACCAACGGAAAAGGAAAACCTTTCTCTCTGTCTCCCTGTCTCACTGTCCACTCTGCCTGTCAAAAAATTTAAAAATTAAAAAAAGAAATAAATGCTCCCTTGAGGAAAACACAGTAGGTATCCGAAAAACGTTTGACAAATGGAATGAACAACCCATCATTCTACTGACACAGTCCAGAACCGTTAGCCTTGGACGAGCTTCACACTGTGGCTTAACTGAAGCACACTCTGCAACACTCAGTGCCCACTCTCTCAGTGGCTGGAGTGTTATAGGTAAGTCAGGGTAGCCAGATTATCTGGGTTCAAACTGTACTTCAAATTTACTAGCTATGTGACACTGGGACATGTTACCTTGGGTCTCTGACCCTCAATTTCTGATCTGTTAAATGGGAATGAGGGGGCCAGCCTTGTGGTGCAGCGCATTAAAGCCCCAGACTGCAGTGCCAGCATCCCACATGTGCACCAGTTCGAGTCCCAGCTGCTCCTTTCCAATCTAGCTCTCTGCTATGGTCTGGGAAAGCAGTGGAAGATGGTCCAACTCCTTGGGCCCCTGCACCCGCATGGGAGACCCAGAAGAAGCTCCTGGTTCCTGGCTTTGGATCAGTACAGCTCTGGTCATTGTGGTCATTTGGGGAGTGAACCAGCAAATAGCAGATCTCTCTCTCTCTCTCTCTGGCTCTACCCCTCTCTGTAACTCTGTCTCTCAAATAAATAAAATAATTCTTAAAAAAAAAAAAAAAATGGGAATGAGACCATCATCCCTAATTCAGAAAATTCTCTAGATTTTAGAAAAGTAACACAGAATGTATTATATCCTATATAAAACACCCTAAATGAAGTCTGGGTCCATATATTATAATCAAACATTTATTCTATTTTTACACCAAACTATGAATATTCACATTACCTAAGATAAAGACAAAAACAGCTTCCAGTACATTCAGGTTAGATTTTGCCACCAAATATATTTACCACAAGCAAACAAACAAACAAAAGAAGAAAAAAAAAAAAAACAACTTTGGTTTGGGTATTTTAGAACTGCAGATATAAGATTTCTAGTATTAACCATAATGAGAAATAACTGAGCCACTACATATCAAGTATTTAGGACAGTATTTGGCATACATTAAGTACTATGTAATATGCCTTGTTATTTTTATGTGCAGGATACTAATCAGGCTCTATAAGGGACATAAAGTGAACCAAAATATTTTTTACAATCTGATAAATTAAAAACATTTAAACATTGGAAAGGTACCATTAAACAAAATAGTCAACAAGTATAAAATGATTATTGTGTATCATGCACTTTTTAAAATGTATTATCCTATTTATCACTTATAAGAACTTTAAGGTAGAAATAAGGAGGCTTCAAAAAGTTCATGGAGAGGGCTAGCACTGTGGCATAGCAGGTAAAGCTGCCGCCTACTGTGTCAGCATCCCATATGGCCGCCAGCTCGAGTCCCAGCTGCTCCACTTCCGATCCAGCGCTCTGCTATGGCCTGGGAAAGCGGTAGAAGATAGTCCAACTCCTTGGGCCCCTGCACCCTCATGGGAGCCCCGGAAGAAGCCCCTGGACCTAGCTTCGGATCAGCTCAGCTCCAGCCGTTGCAGCCAACTGGGGAGTGAACCGGTAGATGGAAGTCCCCTCTCACTCTCTGCCTCTCCTTCTGTGTATAACTCTGACTTTCAAATAAATAATAAATAAATCTTAAAAAAAATTTTTAAAAAGACAAAAAGTTCATGGAAAAATCATGTTACCTTTTTCAAAATTTTTATTTATTTTCATTTTATTTGAAAGGCAAAGAAACAGAGAGTAGTCTATGTCAACTGGTTCACTTCCCAAATTCCAGCAATAGCCTGGTCTGGGCCAGGCCAAACTCAGGAACTCAATCCAGTTTCCCATGTGGGTGCCAGGGCCCCAAATACCCATTGCCTCCCAGGATGCTGAGCAAGACACTGGAATTGGAAGCAGAGGAGGGGCTCCAACACAGGCATTCAGACAAGGATATGCGCATCCCAAGTGGCGTCTGGACTGCTGCATCAAATGCGTATCCCACGTTATCTCTTATTTCATTTCCCCATGAAAAGCCCTCTCACACAATTATTATCCTCATTTTGAATACATCAAAAGGGAGTCCAAGACTAAGTGGTAGACCCACTATTTAAACCCAGACATTCTGACTTGAAGAGCCATGCTTTTAACCATATCCTATGCCACCTCCTACAGGGTACATGTGTCAAGTGCTGACATTATAAAATTGAGAACCTCAATGTACCAAAGAAAATCTGCCAACTCAATATTTCTCTACTTCCCTAACAATGGTGTTTTAAGTTACACATCACAATCCAATAATGTCAATAAAACAAAGTCCAAACTTACCAAATGTTGCAATATGATATTAGTTCTTTTGAATGAACTGAACCTGAAACAAACATAGAATACAATGAGCACAGTAATGTGGGTATTCATGTCTCAATTTATAAACACTATATGCCCTTTTGCTTTAAGCTCTTCTAAAACATCAGAACAAAAGGTTGTGTGTGTTTTTAAATTCTCAGGACCAGTGTAGCGGCATACATAGCAGTTTAAGCCTCCACATTCAATGCCAGCATCCAAAATGGGTGCCAGTTTGAGACCCGGCTGCTCTATTTCAGATCTAGCTACCTGCTAATTCACCTGGGAACCCAGTGGAAGAAAGCCCAAGTGCTTGGGCCCCTGCACCATGTGGGAGACCCAGAAGTAGCTCCAGGCTTCTGGCTTCAGCCTGGCCCAGCCCCAGCCAAGCCCCAGCGTTGCAGCTATTTGGGGAGTGAAACATGGGTGGAAGATTTCTCTCTCCCCTTCTCTCTCTCGCATGCTTTGTCCCTCTTTCTCTAACTCTTTCAAATAACTAAATAACTCTTAAAAAAAAAAAAATTCTCACTCACTGCTGGTAGGAACACAAAAAGGTATTGCCACTTGCAAACGGTTGTGTAGTTTCTCACAAAACTAAATGAACCCTTACAACACAACAATTTTGCTCTTTGATATTTTCCTGTAGGAACTGAAACTTTATGTCCACACAATATCAAAACATGAATTTTATGGTAGCTTTATTCATAATTGCCAAGCTGTGGAAGGAACCAAGACATCCTCCAAAAGGTGAAAGACAAATCTTAGTATATCCATACAGGTGAATAAAATCTTAGTCAAAAAAAATAAATGAGCTACCCCCCTCCCAAAATAAAGGTAGCAATTTGAATGTGTACTACAAAGTCAAGGAGAGACTATAAATTGTATACTTTCACCTATCTGATATTCTGAAAAAGGCAAAATGATGGAGTCAACAGAAATCTGTGGTTGCCAAGTGCTTCTAGGAGGGAGGGAGGAAAGAACAGGTAGACCACAGGAGATAATTAGGGCAGTGTAACTAGTGTGTATGATGCTGCAATACATGTCACTATCCTTCTATCAAAATTTTCTGCTCAATTTTTCTGTAAACCTAAAACTGCTCTAAAAAATAAAGCTACTGGGGCAAGTGTTGTGGCACAGGGAGTAAAGCTGCCACCTGCAGTGCCAGATTCCCATATGGGTGTTGATTCATGTCCTGGCTGCTCCACTTCCAATCCTGCTCCCTGCTGATGGCCTGGGAAAGCAGTAGATGGCCCAAGCCCTTGAGCCACTGCACCCATGTGGGAGATCCGGAAGAAGCTCCTGCTTCTGGTTTCAGATGGGCAAGCTATGGCCGTTGCAGCCATTTGGGGAGAATGAACCAGCGGATGGAAGATGTTTCTCTCTCTCTCTCCCTGTCTGCCTCTGCCTCTGCCTCTCTGTAATTCTGCCTTTCAAATAAATGAATAAATAAATCTTTAAAAAAATAAAACTATGAAGTTTTTTTTAAAAAAAGGTTTAGTTCAGATATATAATCTTACCAGCAATCTCCAAAGCTACCAAAAGATATACAGATTGGTACTGCCTTTTTATTTTTTAAGATTTATTTATTTTACTTGAAAGGTGCAGTTACAGAGAGGGAGAGGCAGAGAGAGAGAGACACCTTCCATCTGCTGGCCACAACGGCTGGAGCCGGGCCAGTCCAAAGCCAGGATAAAGGAGCTTCTTCTGGGTCTCCCACAGGGGTACAGGAGCCCAAGGACTTGGGCCATCTTCCACTGCTTTCCCAGGCACATTAGCAGGAAGCTGAATCAGAAGAGGAGCAGCCAGGACTCGAACCACTGGCACCCATATGGGATGCCAGCACTTCAGGTGGCGGCTTAACCAGCTATGCCACAGCGCCAGCCCTGGTACTGCCTTTCTAACAAGTAGTTTGAAAATGAAGAACCACAGCTTTTAAAAACATCATACCTTCAGCCTAGTAATTCCACGGGCACTTGCACTTGGGAAATTCCAGAGGGGTGACCAAAGTTTGATTTATAAGGACACAATTACATGAAGAAAAACTCAGAACAAAATACCTAGCAGAGCAGTATTTTTAAATTGTGACATCTATACATGACCATCACAAAGCCACTAAAAATACCTAAAAAATATTTAATACTTATGACCTGGAAAAATATTGATGACAAAAAATATAAAAATAAAACAGGCTACAAAGGAATAAACATACTTCTGATTTTATTGTTGTAAAAGTGTTTGCTAGGATAGGAATACAAAGCTTAAGACACAGCATAGCAAAAATGACCAAGAAACATGGAGTTTCTTGGAAGTTTTTTGGTTGGAAGTTGGAAGTTCTGGAGTTGGAAACTCTCTCTAATCAGATGGCGGTTACAGGGTTGTACACACAGGTAAACACTAAGTTATAAACTGCAGAATAGTGCATCCAAATAACTTATATAAATTATAATAAGTAAAAAGTTACTTGGGGGAGGGTGATAACAGGAAGGCACATGAGGTCGGCTTCTGGAACGCTGGTGTTGGCTAATTTCTTGATCCAGGTGCCAAGGGTTTAGATATGTGTGGGTTGTAAAAACTCATCAAATTCTTTCTGCTCTGGGACTTTCTAAAAAGTTTCCAGAAAAACCACAGTTCTTGACAACTAACAATGCACTAAGAGATACACATTAAAATACTTTAATTACAATGTATTGCAATGCATGCTTCTGTTTAGGAAGTTAAGAAATATAAGATGCATGAAAAAATCAAAGCTAGAATCATTAGCTGTAGCCACCCAGTGAAGACTCTGCACTTCTGCAAACACATGTACTAACTGTGGGAACTGATACATTGCCAATTCTTTTTTTCAAAGATATTTTGAGATATGAGAAGTTACAGCCCAGCTGAGGCTTTAAAAATGGCAATATGACTATTATTAACACTTATAGATGCATTTTAGATGACTGAACTTGTACAAATACTTGTAATTTCAACTTTTCAAACTTATACTACTTTCCTGTTACACTATATTCAGGTTGCATAATACAGGGCCGACACTGTGGCACAGCTGATTAGGCTGCTACCAGCAACACCAGCACCCCAGATGAGCACTGATGCAAGCCCCAGCTGCTCCACTTTCAATTCAGCTCCCCGCTAATGTACCCCAGAGCGCAGCGGAAGATGGCCCAAACACTTAGCCCCTGTCACCCCCATGTGAGACCCAGATGGAGTTCCTGGCTTTAGCTTGGCCCAGCTGAAACTGTTACAGGTATTTAGGGAATGAACCTCCAGATGAAAATTTGCTGACTCTGCATTTCTCTCTGTAACTCTCCCTTTCAAATAAATAAATCCTTCTAAAAAAAATTGAATACTACTACCTCAACAATGGGCACTTTTTTTTAAGCACTCATACTTCACATTCCTGGACTACATATTCAGAATATGCCTTAACTCAAATAAAACATTTTTATCCTAGTCAAGGGATTCCACAACATTTCTGCTCATTAGAGTTACCTGGTGGGCTGATGTTGTGGCGCAGTCGGCTATGCCACTGCCTGTGACACTGGCATCCAATAGGGATACCTATTCAAGTCCAGCCTGCTCCTCTTCTGATCCAGCTCCCAGTTAATGTGCCTGGGAAAGCAGAAGATGGCCCACATTGCTTGGGCCCTGACACACAGGAAACCCGGACAGACTTCCAGATTCCTGGTTTCCACCTGGCCCAGCCCCAACTGTGTTGCGGCTTCTTGTAAAGTGAAACATGGGATGGAAGCTCGCTCTGTCTCTCCTTCTCTAATTCTGCCTTTCAAATAAGTAAATAAATCTTTTTAAAACAAAAAAGAATCACCAGGGACTCTTGTAAATTCCAAAGCTCAAGTCACAGCAAAGACCAATTAAATTCAATCATAAACTCTGGAGGGGTGATACAGGCATAAGTATTTTCTTTGAAGCATTACCAAATGATTTCAAATAGCAAGCAAGATGGAAATAAAATGAAATCTTTGTAAAATTCAAACTGAAGTGACAGTATCCCTAGTTTATTGAAAGGTTTTTTTTTTCTTTTTTGTGATAACATACTTTCAGTTGCTTTAAGATTTATTTTATTTATTTTAAAGGCAAAGTTACAGAAAAAGAGGGAAGAGGAGACAGGGAAAGGGGAGACGGGGAGAGGGAGAGAATCTTCCATCCACTGGTTCACTCCCCAAATGGTCTCAATGGATGGGATTGGGCCAAACAGAAGGCAGGAGCCAGGAAATTCTTCAGGGTCTCTGATATGAGCGAAGGGGCCCAAGCACTTGGGCCATCTTCTCCTGCTTTCCCAGGCACATTATCAGGGAGCCCAGTCAGAAGTGGAGCAGCTGGGATTAGAGCCAGTGCCCATATGAGATGTTGGCATCGCAGGCTGTGGCTTTACTGACTATGCCACAGTGCCCTGAGGGGCATTTTATAATTAAGGCTTTCATACAGACTTTTTATTTTTAAAGATTTATTTTATTTATTTGAAAGACAGAGTTACACACAGAGAGGTAGAGACAGAGAGAGAGGTCTTCCATCGCTGGTTCACTCCCCAGATGGCCGCAATAGCTGGAGCTGTGCCAAACTGAAGCCAGGAGCTTCTTCTGGGTCTCCCATGTGTGTGCAGGGGCCCAGAGACTTGGGTCATCCTCCACTGCTTTCCCACGCCATAGCATAGAGCTGGATTGGAAGAGGAGCAGCCAGGACTCGAACCAGCACCCATGTGGGATGCCAGCACTTCAGGCCAGGGTGTTAACCGGCTGTGCCATAGTGCCGGCCCCTCATACAGACTTTTAAAATCTGAGCGACACTAAATTTTTTTCGACTTGACTCAAAGTCATCATTTTATACATACTAAGTATCAAAAAAATAAGAATTTCTTTAGGTCCAGAAGGACTTCAAATTCCTTAATGAGGCCAGTAGCCCAGTGTCAGTTCAAGGTTAAGGAGGCTGCTGCCAGATTGACAAGTCTTTTACAACTATTTAAGTGCTACAAGCACTATAAAAGTAAATGGAAGCAAAGGCCTAGCTTCAAGT